TCCTGGATCATGCCCGTGCCATCCTGCGCCATGAGACAATAGTAGTCGCTGCCGGCGGCGACGAGGGTTGTCGATGCGGCGAGTGTGAGGAAGATGGATTTGAGATGCATTTTTATTAATTCTTTTCTTTATTCAAAATCAAGATGATGGAGAAAGATGAAGATGGAGGAATTGATGGCGGAATTATGCTTGTCAGTGAGGTGATCCGGTAGGGTATTTATTTGAAATGAACACCCCGGAAATAAGGATTGTCTCGTGTAGTAGGGATAGATGGGATTTGCAAGGTACGTGCAATGTGCATAGTATGTAGACGCGTGTCCTGTCCTTGTTTGATCCCTTGCGTTGCGGGTTCGAGGCATGGCGGCTGGTTGGCACATGGTATGTATGTATGTACTTTGTCATTGTGTTATGTAGCAGATTGATTTGAGGTGGGTGAGTTTGAGATCAATATGTGGAGTGGAACTGTAATTTGTTGATTTGATGGCTTGTTGTTGATTATGCGGCGATTTCTTCCTCTGCAGAGGATTGGACAGTATCTTTTTTGGTGGCGCGACTTGAATGTTCACTACCTTGGTGGGCAGTAGTATCCCTTATCCCTTGATCCCCTGCCACTGGCTTTTCCTGTCCTGTCCTGTCCCGTCCCTGGCTAGTGGCTACGTGCTTATGTATGCTGCAACAGAGTTTATGCTTATTGAGAGATGTCAATCATCTGGTTTAGCTGTAAGGGCACGATGTAAGCGATCTGTCTGAGACACTAATTAACTACTTTTTTACCCCCTCTCATCACAACTCCAATCCAACGTGTTGACTACTTCAGTTTAAGGTTCACAGGAGCGTCAAGTGCAAAGCCCTTGAACGTCCGCGCTGACTTCCCCAGCAAGGTACATTTCTCCACCTTGGGGACGGCCTTCTGTCCGAATGTACCCTGGACGTGCAACTCCCCGTTGCTGTACGTGAATTCGAGCTCTGTCACAGATGACGGGTTCAACGAGTCCCCGTCATCCAAATACAGACTGCCCGATGCGGTGCCGTCCAAGTCGGGTGCGATGATCAGTTCGAAGCCCTGCTTGCGAACTTCAGTGGTCGTCATGCCGCTGGACATCCTGACAGGAATGATGTTTCCACCGCGAATATGCAGAGGGATGTGGGTGATGTTGATGTTGCTGAGCGTGATGTTTTCCCCGTGTCCGCGCACCACTGCTCCTGTGTACCAGTCGTAGAAGATGTCATCCGGGAAGTATGCGTCGACTGAGGTGGATCCCTCATTCAGGACAGGGCTGACAAGAAGGGCGTCACCGTAGAAGAACTGTCGGTCGTTCGCAAAGGTGTTCGAATCCTCAGGGTACAGGTAGAATTGAGGCTGCAAGAATGGCTCGCCGGTCTGGCTTTGCCGGTGAAGCGCAGTGTAAATGTAATCGAGGAGCCTGTACCGGATGTCAATGGCCTTGCGGGCGGACTCGGCAACCGTGGGCCAGCGGTAGAACTCTTGCGGTATATCGCCGAGCTCGTTGTGATTGCGGTAGAACGTATAGAAGGCACCAAGTGACGCCCATCGGCCACACAGTTCCTCCGTCGTGTTGCTACCAAACCCACACACGTCAGCTCCAACCATTGGAATTTGGAACATCGATGCGAAGGAGAGGATCTGCGCGATGGAGATCCGGTAGTGAACCCAGTCGCTAAGGTTGTCGCCCAACCTGTACAAATTAGCGATGTACTAGCAAAAACCATGTTGAACCTACCAGTGTCCTACGTGTGCTCCAGCACCCGCAAACGTACTGCGAGTGATGACCAAAGGCCTCACATCGGGACGGCGAGCCTGCATAGCCGTGCGGGAAGCAGAGCTCATCACTAAACCTGTCAATGGCGAATCATATCTGCAGATTTTCCAAAGACTTACTTGTTCCGTAAAGGTTGTGCGTATCGTACTCGGCATACCCTTCACCTGCATGAATGAGATCCGTCTCGATAGTGCTCATACTGAGTACGCCTGCGGCATTCCGGATTGTGTAGGGCGGGTCAGTGAGGTTGCGGTTGGGCAACCCAACCTTCTTCCCTTTATCACCTTGCGCTCTCTTAACAGATCGCTTGGACGAAGGTTGGAAGTCCGCCGGGAACCCAGGTAGTGGAATCGGGCTGCTTGGCCGCACAGGCGGCGCTGCTGGTGGGAGGTCATCGGAGATTGCAAATGCCGCTGGGTCAAGGCAAGGATACGGGCAGAAGTTGGATGCTTCATTCATGTCAATCCACAGGGCGTCGATATCGACTCCTGACTTGGGATCGAAGAACTGCTGGAATTGCGCAGTCCAGTAATCCTGAGTATCCTCATTGAACCAGTCTGGGAAGACCGTCACACCAGGCCAAACAGCACCTGTAGAGCTTAGTTGATGTTGCTAGGTATGGAAGATGTGCATACTTACCCTCATACAGACTACCGTTCTGATTGTGAAGGAACACATTGTCTCTCACACCGGTGAGATACGCCGAGTTATCTAGAAAGCACATGTTAGCCGGAAGCTGCAAGAATAGTTGGGTGTGATCCAGTTACTCACTGCTCACGCTCACAGCCGGATCGACCATGACAATGTAATGCTGATCATGATTGTGGAGGTAGGTTACCAGCTCCCGCATCTTTTCGAGCGGGAATCTCTGAGGATCAAGGGTAAACACCCTCCTCTTGTCCATGTAGTCGATATCTGTCCACATCGTCTCCAATGGGATCTTTGCCTGGCTGTAGTTGTAGACCACTTCGGCGAGTTCATAGACATCGCGGTATCCATAACGGCATTGGTGGAACTGAAGAGTCAGCATACAATTCGGACTATAGAATCAGGAAGAGAGAAGCGTACACCGAAAGTCCAGTAACTTTGCATTGCCGGGAGACCGACAATCTTCGAGTACTCCATGCTCGCTTGCTTAGGATCTTCTCCATAGAAGAAGTAAAAGTCTAGAACACCACCGAGAAGGTTGTATTCCAAGTACTGCTTCCCATCTGTCGTCTGGTTGATCTTAATGTCCATACCATTAGAGTTCAGCAGGAAGACTCCATGGGTTCCGGACTTTCCACGGTGATCATAGTACACAGGATGACTGCCGTACAAGTTGGTGTTGTTCGGAGTGCCATACGCGTCGCGGTTCCACAAGGTCCGCGTGTAGTTGTACGTTGGCAAACGCATAGGGTCAGAGTGCTCTCCGAGACCATACACATACGGGTCATCGGGCAGCCAGGTGCGAAGCCTGACATATTGCGACTGAAAAATCAAGGTGGATGCCGAAGAGTCAAACAGGACCTCATCTCCCTTGGAGATAGTGAACGAAAACGGTTCTTCCACATAATCGAATTCCAACACACTGTCCTGAGAGTCCTTGTCACTGCCCACGCGAGGAAGGACCGATTCAGGAACTTGATAGACTTCTTCGTCGGCATCATAGATCATAACATGTAGCCGTTCATCTGAGAAAGCCGTCAGTCGGGATCCCTTGATTCACACAAGAACACTCACCAGTCTGATACTCCACAAGCAACTTGAGGTCCTCCACGTCCTTGCCATAGCTATTACAAGGCGCACCAGCTAGAGTAAGATCCGCAGTCAAAGACCTAGCAGACTTTTGCACATTGGACGCCTTATACCCAGGGCAACTCTGACTGCCTGCCCTGGGACCAATGACAGCAGCGCCCACAAGGGGTAAGAGAAAAAGCAAAGACCCCAACATTGTGATGTTGGCTCTAGGATTACCCCGGACTACAACAAGCCTTGAGTTCGTATCCAAACCGGGAGGTCACAGCGGCTTATATGTGTTTGGGCACGGACTGATGACATTGAATGCATGGCGCGTTGGCCAAAGTGCATAATGTGGCGTTGCGCGGTATGACCGGACCCCGCAGATTCAATCAGCGAAGCCAAGGAATGTAACTGACAAAGAGACGGAATGAGCCGAGCATGGCAATGAGAAAAAGCAATATTCATAGGGGAGAAGAGCCGAGCAACGTGGAGACGATTGCCTAAAGAAGACAATGTGAGTCTCTGGTCGTCCCATCTCGGTCAAATATCGGGGATCTTCGCCGCTATCGGCTTGGGGCTGATGCAGGGACTGAATAATTTCGGGTCACTTACACCGATTCTCGTCCATTGAATCTCGTGCAGCAGCCTAGACTTTGGACACGTCTGATCGGTATATCACTCGGTAATGTTCTGGATGGTGGGCCTTATTTTCTGCAGGTAAGCATTGGCATGGAATAGTAGTATGGAGATGGAACCGAGGAAGTGACGGTGATGGTGGTTCTCCTCACTCTCCCCCACCACGTGCCCCGCTTGACGCCCCGCAAACAAACAAACTGAGACATTCAAAGGATCAGGATCAGATATCGTTCAAAGAACATGGGCAAAAGTGAATATTTCTGCTTACTCCAAATCCCACCAAGAGTCAGGCAAAGCGTCGGATGCAACGGATTCGGTCGCCTGATACGTAGTTGTAGCTGATAGGTGGCTCTGACCTGTCAAGAGGCGGTCGCTAATGTAAGTGCTGCAAGCCTTTACAATTGAGGTGGCAGTGGCATAAGACATTGAGCAGATAGTACTATAGTGACACTCGAGGGGCAGCTCACTCATCCAGCATGTCGGGTACCCTGGCAGAAGCTTGAGGACCTGGGGAGTGCGCAAATGAATGTAAGACAGTGTTCAGTCAACCTACAGTCCTGGGTTACTCTCCCGCTTCATTCTGTGCGGACGCCTGTCATTGCGAGGAGACAGCTACTCTACCTGCAACACATGTCAAATGCAGATGTCGTGAAAGTTGAACATGAAGGAATAGAATTCTACGTGCATCTCTATGCCTCCAGCCAGCAGGGATCTCTAACAACATCGAGAAAGGAAAACGTTACATGGGATAAACCATCCATCAAGTGTCATCAAAAATATGTGTCATGAATGCGAAAGGTATCCGAGGTGACCAGTCACCCAAAATGTGCAGTTGAAGTATGTTCTCAAGTGTGCGACTGTTTAGATCTTCTGACCAGCGGAAGCAGCCTTAACATCGTCTTCGGAGCTCATGATTTGAACCTTTATGGCACCTGTCTTGGGGTTGGCAGCCGTCTCGAAGGCCTTGATCGCATCCTCCAAGAGGAAGCGGTGCGTCACAAGCTTCTTCAAGTCGATAACACCGTTCCTCACCAAGCGGATCGCGCGAGGCCAGGTGTTGCAGTACCGGTACTGGTACTGGAGGTCAATCTCCCAGGTACTAAGGCGCATAAAAGGCACGGTCATCTCGTTCTTTCCGACACCAATGACGAAGACCTTGCCGCCGAACTTGACACTCCAGATCGCCGAAGCCACACTGCTCTCCACACCAGTGCACTCCATCGCAATGCGAGGCCTCAAAGCGCCGGGGCCCGAGCCTTGTCCATCGTTGAAGACGTTGATGATACCTTCGGCATTCTGCTCAGCAGAGAGGCCAATCTGCACCTTGTAGGTGCGGACGTCAGGGACCAGCGACTTGGCAAATTCCAGTCGGCCCTCATCGATATCGGTAATAACGATGGGGCTAGCTCCAGCCGCACGAGCACTCAGCAGGGTGATGAGACCAATGGGCCCAGCACCAGTGACTAGGCAGGGGTCACCCAAGCGAAGGCCACTACGCTCAATACCCGCGAGAGAAACACTCAGAGGTTCCAAGAGCGCACCATCTTCATAACTCATATCACCAATCTTGTGGCACCAAATAGCGGGGTGGTTGACATAGCGACGCAGCAGTCCGTCGACGGGAGGGGTGGAGAGGAACTGAACACTTTCACAACCGTTGTAGCGACCAGTCAGGCAGGGTTCACAAGCGTTGCAAATGATGTTAGGCTCGACAGCGACACGGTCGCCAGGCTTGAGGGAGGTGACATCGGGCGCAACAGCCACGACTTGTCCCGCAGACTCGTGACCCAGGATGTGGTCTCCTGTGACGATCATAGGCCCAATGCAGCCTGCATGCCAGAAGTGCACGTCGGACCTGGATGTTGATGACCAATATTTAGCCAGGGAATACAAAGCCAGTCGTGAGAGGGACGGAAGACATACCCGCAGATTCCGGTGCTGCGAACCTCGATTGTAACCTCACCAGGCTGCAATCCTTGGCCGTTCTTGACCTCCTCGAGCGTGGGTTTCGCGTCAGCGACCCACAAGTCATGCTTGGTGTTTGTGAACACGCCAATGTTCGCTTTCTCGAGAACAGTTGCGGTAGCCATGATGACCTAATCTAATGAAGGGGAAATATTAAGGGGAGGAGGGAAAAAGTCGCAAGAGGTGAACGCAAGGGATGAGCAGGATGGGAAAGCAAGCGGAAAGAGGATCTACCGGGCTTAAGTACTTTGTAACAGCGGTCTACCCCTCCATCATTGAAGGAAGGGGAAGAAAGGAGAAAAAAAAAGCTCAGGGATGATCTTTTCTTCAATGTGAGAGGCTGCAAGTAGCTGGTTCCTTCGCCACCGATAGGAGCATTGCCAAATAGCAGTAACGCGACGGGTCCATCATGGGCTTACTGATGGGTTAGAAAGTGGATAGAAGCTAAGAAGGGCATTTACCCGGTGGCCCCTCGAAGCGCGGGGTTCGGTCTGGGGCATGATTTATGGGATTCTCCCCCATTGGGCCAGACTGCCCGGCGGTCGCATTCCCAAAGACCATCCGTGAGCCAGGATGTCGCACTTGCTACCCTGGATAGTGTGCTTATAAACACGAGCTTGGTGCACAGGTAAGCTTTAGAGAAACGGTGGCTTGCCTAGAGAACTTTCTGGGCAGCCTTCATTGCAATGTATAGGTTGCTCAAGTCAAAACTTATGCTTTCTGTGGAATCCGACCGGTGGGGGCTCTTATCTCCGTCTTATCGGGGCGTCGGTTCTGTTTCCCCAAGTGCAAAGCCGGGTGTATAGGGCAACAGGAGTAACTGGCAGTGATGGAACAATATTGAGAGGGTTGTTAGAGAAGAAACCCATCAGATGATGATCGTCACCTTCAATATACACAATACAGTCATCCCTGCTATTATGCTTCTACATGTTACAATCGCAGTCATTCTCCGATCCCATCCTGTCCAAGTGGTAGATACAGTAGCATCTACAACATCTACTCGGTTAAATCATCCAGACAAGGTTATTTGATCGGTCTATTCTTAGTCCCTCGTCCACTTCACCCCAGACACAATCCTCTAGCTACTTCAATCTCCCCAATCATTCATCGGAAAGTCACGGCTTCCACCTCGTTTCGGATTGTTGACCCAGAAGAGCACACTTCAAACCCACCTTATTTACCCGGAGTGGCAATTCTCCGGTGGGCGGGACTCGATCCATCCACCCAGTGGTGGAGCATTACGGATGTCGTATCCACCATCTCTACTTTTTTATCCCTGTTATGCAAGGTCGTCCAGCACTCGGAGTTACGGTTATATTGCGGGTATAATGCTGTTGCTGAGGGTATGGCCACATTGAAGTCTTGTCGAGAGTAATTCCAATCTATGTGAACCAAAGCATGTGGAACAGGTTCATAAAACATATACACCGACATGGTGTATAGTGCAATCGGTTAAATACCTCTATGGGCAATTGACTTGGCTCATAGATTTTTTTTTAAAATTAATGTTTCTAGCTACAGTTCAGGGATCCGTCAAATGCAGCCTTATAGGGTCTTCCTTGAGTCCCTGAATACTGTTTTGACACAGTGAACATCACTCCTGCTTCTGAGATACCGTCTGGCTTTCAGCCGAGAATAGCAATACTGGAGGTAGCATGCTGGCTCATCATTTTTACGCACAAAACATGGATACATGACCCAGTCATCAACATAATAACATAGAAAATAATATAACGTTTTGATGTAGTTCGAAGCACAAGAGGGCCCAACTGTGGAGCTTCACAGATCCTTCTGGAAGAAGCTAAATCAATCCCTGTCCTGGAGCTAATGGCAATAGTACGTTGATCACTGATTGGTTTTATGACTCGCATACTCAAGTAAAAGCGAGCCTTGTCTATCATTCAAGCTAGGCGTTTCATATAATTCTATCCAACATTATCATATCGGGTAATTTCATCAAGAACATGGCCATCACACTTTTATCAATCCAGCCTGGAGCTGTTCCAGCTGACCCAAGTTTATCGAACCGGGAATTCAGGGTCAACAGCTTCTGTATCCACACCAACAGTAATATATCCGATCATCCCATTCCTCACATCAACCCCATCCATGGGGACCACCGACACAATGGCATTATACCCGTCGGTATTCTCATTATGGAACGTGTCATCAAGACCATTAACGAGTCTCTGAATCCCTGTCACAGAAGAATACGGCTCCAACGCCATGATCTCCTGCTCAAGCTCCTCATCGAAAAAAACCTGCCCCGTGCTCACGGTATTCCCACTCGCAAGGGTGCCGTTGTCTCTCAGCACCCAGTCGGTATGCACTTGAATATGAATGTGGATTGATCTTCCGAAGTAAAAGCCTGCAAGTTCAAACTCCTCATATATCAGCATGTCAATAAATTCCCAGAGAATTGTTGTACAACTGACCTGGGAAAATAGTCTTCATCTCCACCATCCCATTACTATCCGTCGGCCACATGCCCCGCAACCAAGTCTGATTATCCGTATGAATATCCGACTGTCCGGGCTCAAACCAGGTCATGTTAAGGTCTTGTAGCGTTTCAGATTTGGGGATGTCGTTTCGCAGCCCAGTAAAACTTGAATATTTTCCCGTAGCATTGCAGTGCCAAACGTCCACCAGCACCCCTTCCAAGGGTCCACATGTCGCCATATCCATCACCCCAATATCAAGCGACAACGGCACGCCTGGTTGATCTTCCCTAATATCCTGCCGAAGTGTCTGAGACTCTGTCCACCAATAAGGTCCGGATGTCACGTCGGGCGTGAGCACGCAGGTTTCATTCTGAATCGTCTTATAGTAAGGTGCTTCCGTTGTAGCTTCGATAGTCGTAATATTCTGCCGCTTTTCCAAGCTCCTCTTCCATCTTTTTGCGTTGTATTCTCCGGCATGGTGAGCGCAACGAGAAGACAGCTCCTGTCGACGCGAAATTTCGGCTCTCGTGGCTTTTTTATGAGGGCCTGGGTGTGCGATGGCCAATGAGGCTAACGTAGCTGCAACGAGGAAGCTGAAAAAACGCATGATATGCGAAATAATAGTAAGAAATCCCCTACTATGTAGGCTGTTGTGCACCCGGTCAAATCCTCTGCAACCTCTTATCATGGCCCTCCCTCGTCGCTATTTATTATTCACCCGGAGAACCTTCCATTAGTGATCATTATTTGCTCTTGCTTCTTGCGGTGAGATATCGTAAACAGAATTTTATACATTATTGGATGCTGGTTGGCTGAGAGTGGAAGATGATCATTACTTGGGTTGGGCGTGACATGATTGGAATGCTTTATGCTTGATAGGCGGCAAGGGTTAGCAGCCAGCCAGCCACCTATGATATCCAATGTCTTGATAAACGCCCGCGGAATGAAGCAGCGGTTGCCAAGTAGTAGTACCACTGTTGGATGGCTAGTAAATGATCTTCTTCTATTGGTAGATTTCAATTACGCGTTTGATGTACCTTACTGTTGTCGTGGACCTTATGTTGTTGTTAACCAAGGTATTATGGTTTCATTTAACTGCAAGGACATCAAATTCGGAAGTCAATCAGGCAAAGCGTTTGTTAGGCGCTCTCAAGCGCTCGAGAATTCCAGATTCACTATGTCAACCAGAATCTAGCTCTTATCTATTGTCCCGCGGGTTCTGATTACTTTCGTAGAACACGATAGCTTTTAACTGGATAAACTATAACCCACTTAGATACTCGAACTAGGTCGATCATGTACCTCGGAATCCTACATATTGCGTCTTATATAGATAATAGTGAGTCTTTCTATGCAGCTCATACTCGGCCTTGTGCTACCGGTCAGCTATGCAGGATGCCTGATCTTGACGATATGCACGTAAGGCTCACATTGTTGGGCTACTTGGCCTAAGCAGGAATATAATTCCACTGTGTTCATAGCAGTTCCATTTGCATTTGTGCATTAAGTGCCGCGGAATATATACCCTATGCAAGTCTTGTGATATTTATACAAAGCTTATATAACAATTAGATCAGGTAATATTGCATTGTGCCGTATTGTTGATACCTTTGGACTAGAATACAGTCTTTATAGTATAATACGGCAAGGACGTTGAAGTATTCCCCAAGTGATAGGTGATTCGAGAGAGACTTGCATAGAACATAACCAATAATAACATAGTATCATACAAAGCAACCATGACACAGAGCTTATTTACCATTGACAGCACCTCCGTCCGGCAAACAAGCTCCCGCTCATCCATTGCGCCACAACATCACATTCAGTATAGTGGTATCAAGTTCGAACGTGGCGAGTAAAAACGATAAGAAGGAAAAGAAACATGATCGTAGACGTTGGTATTCTTTACCAACCACCGGGGCCACCAGGACCACCAGGACCACCCGGACCGCCAGGGCCACCAGGGGGTCCGTCGGGACCACAGCAGTCACCGCAGCAGCAGAAGCAGTCGAGGCAGCAGCAGCAACTATTCAAGATGCATTGTCAGTTCTAATCTAACGAATGTATTGTAGTTAGGGGTTCAAGTTGTGGTTACTTACTCGTCACCGCCAGGTCCAGGGGGAGGGCCACCACCACGAAGGCTCACATCCATGTTGTTGTTGGGCATCTAGTTTGTTCATGTTAGTGTCAAGAGACAAAGAAAGCTAAGGATCAGGATGAAACCGTACAGGTTGACCGGTAACGACACCCTCAGTGGTAGGACCGGCAGGGCTCTGAGGCTGGGTCATCGTAACAGTGTTGGGGTCCCAGGTGGCCTCAGGGGCCGATTCCTGTTTGGAGGACTTGAACCAGCTGAAAATACTGTCGCCGAACATTCTGAAGTAGGTCTTTTCTTTTGGATTCTGATTGTTTGAAGTGCAGAAAATGCAATGCAAGAGAAAGACAGCAAACGTAGGGGAAGACCTGGCTTAAGAATCAAAGGACAACAGGTAGATGGGGCCCAAAGCTATGTAAGGCTATCCATTCAGCATCGCTGTTCATGAAACGAGCCATACTATGAAGAGTTAGAGAGCCCAATCAAGTGAGTTGTCTTCCTCAATTCTGATTCTAGAATTGGACCATGGTCTACGGTGTGGAGACCCACTGATCTTGGCTTCGATGGGCGTTACGTATACACTTGTTAGGCAGACAATTTAGTGTCCAACAGCAAGCATTTGTGATGCGCCTTGTCATTGCTTGTCTATTACGGACTAGAGAGGGCTGAACTAGGTATGTGTGCAGGATCAAGTAGGGGGGCGAAACCGAGCCTGTCTGTATGCCTCGCGAGACTGATATTTTGTGAACATCACGGAGTGGTGCCGACGACCAAATGGATCCAGAATCAATAGAGCAACTCAATTTTCCGCCGATAAAAGATAGCAGGGCAGATCAACCGGACAATTTTTTTTCTGTGGAATGGCGAAGAGATCATCCTATGCTCAGCTGCCAGAACCTTATTGATGTGGCATGGAGGATAAAGCTTAATCCGCCTTTGAAGGCTTGGTTTTGGGTATACACAGCAGATGTTCTGCGCCACGCAGTAAAAATAGCCTCAACTGGGCTTTCCTGCCGGAGATGATGTAGGTGTCACACCAGTCGCACGATCAGGGCGCACTGCTAATGCAAAGCCACCTTTGATTGCGTCGTGGCGCGACACGCAAAAAGGTGAAGAGAAATCTTGAAGTTGGTGGCGCCTCATGACTAAGCGGCATGTGGATCCCCGACATTAGGCTTTTCACGTGACTATATCAGGAACACCAACCATCCTTCCCAGAACCCTTCCATGGATCGGTCCACCCTTGGTCCTCATCAGTAGATCAGAAGCCATGCGTTGAACCCAGAGGGCTGAGATCGACATCAAACAACAAAATCTGACCCCTATAAGTCCACAGTACTTTCCAGATTAGACTACTGGTCGGCTAAAGCAACCAGCCACAATGGGAATGAATACCCGGGACACTAATTAGTCCGACGGTCTATCTTTTCACTTCTCCTGATCTGGAAGTCCTGGCACCAGCTTCGATCTAAAACCCATTCCAATATCACAGCGTTTGCCCGTTTATGAGCACTCGTGCTTCCTGATATGGGCAAACGTGTGCTTGGCTTCATTGCTAGTTGGGGTCCCATTGCTAGTGAACTTGTCCTCGAGCTGATCCTGATAGCCTACCGGAGAGTGATCCAAGTGACTTACTGTACTGGTACTACTTAGGTCTCCGCTTAAAGTAGCAGTCGACGAGAATGCGGTTACTTCTGGGCTGGGATACTGGGCCCTACAGGAGGAGAGCGATTTCCCAATACGTTCAGTAGTCTGAAATCTAACTACATGAGAAGATTCGTCGACGTAATCATGAAATGTGTATATCATATTAGTATATTGATTGCTACTTATACTAAGTCATAGAAGCTATTCACAGAACCCTAATACATCCCTCCATTATCCCCCACCCCACCTCTCTATATATATATTATCACTGCCTTCATCACCATGAAAACCATCAATGCGACTCCAATCCCTCAGCACACACCTTCGTTACCTATTCGAATTGATCAATCAGGCCCAGTATCTTCCTCCCTAGCAACGAAAGGTCATCAAGAGAGACGATTACTCTTCCGTCTATTTGAAGATCGTCGACGAGCCGTTGCCCGACGGTTCCATGTGAAAGCTGTGGAGTCCGGCATCTAAGCCAAATACCGGAGGCCCTTGCCATAAGAAAAGCGGATTTGAGTTCTCCTACTCAGTACCATTATCCTAGTATCCACTATCCCCATTGAGGTAGCCTGAGAAAAGCCCGGGGATCCAAGCTAGGTTTACGTACCTTCATTATAACAGAGATATTTCCTACCATCGATATCGCATGGATCATATCTCCTGGCAGAAAGGACTTCAGGGGCTTTGCCATATCATCTGATTTGAGTAGCATTATAGAGCTGGTGTGCTGGTGTGCTGGTGTGCTGGTGTGCTACTCTGGGTACTTGGAGAAGTCCAGAAGCTGCCGTGATAGGGGGTTTGGTGTATCGTATTTCATAAGAACTGGATGCGATTCAGTACATACGCCTCGTCTCGTACTTGTGCTGGGGTTGTCAGCAGTATGTACACCTGTTTCAATCATTTCGTATAGTGGTTTGTTAGGCTGCTAAGCTAAGGAGGCTTGTACGCAGAACAACTAAGATAAGAGAGCAAGGTGTTATTACATTTAAGGAAGTGTGCTACCAGTGTTTCATAGGGCAGCTGTCAGACTGTATGATCCATTGAATAATTGCTGTGCGTTCAGTGACTACGAATAAGGCTCCCAAGAGATGAAAAGCTATTGATGCAATCAATCGAACAATGATGATCAGCATCGCCAAGGCTTTATCGGAACAGAAGGCTGCTTTCATCTCATTATAGTGGATGCCATGGATGATAGACAGCCGGGGGCTGGTATCGATATGTCAAAAGGAGATGTAATATGAAGAGAATTGATGGTCTTGTAACAATATTCGTTCTATAATGACTGTGTTAGCATAATCACTGCTGGGGTTTGTCCATTGTCGAAAATACATGTGGAACCCTATACACATCAAGGATTCATGTCGTTAGCAAATCTGAATGCTGCCCTGTACCCACAGGTGACGATATCTGGGTATTTGAAGTGTTTGACATTCAATAGCCTGTCCGCTTAACCACGACAGGTGTTTGAAATAGAGACCCCAAACTGGTCCTCTTAATAGATTGCCAGACAGCCAGTCACGCTATATACTCCTCCATGTTCTCTGGTTTGTATGATAGGCCGGTAACTGGCCATAGGTGATATGACTGGCTCTCGGTAGCTGTCAAGGCATAGTGTTAGGGAATGGGTTAAAATGGATGCGACGTGACATATAGCGTGATATTCCTTGATGTGAAATCATATGCCCATTGAAACTTTCTATATGAAATGAAAATGCATCCACAGGTGTTGGGCGAATTATTTCTATCTTTGGATTAGCCAGCTCAAACTGACATGTCGCTTGCGAAGTGATTAGCACGGCCATTCGGCAGAACGGAAGCCTCGGATGTTGTCAGGATACACCGGCGACGAAGTTGACCCAGTAAGTTTAGATATAGTATCAATGCGCGGTTGGCCGTCTCGATGAATGGAAGATGTGAAATAGCCAAGCGTGTTGGATTTGCAAAGATCAAGTTGATGTGATGGTTTGATAAACAAGGCATGAGCGCGGGTGCACGTGACACGGAAGTGGAGGCTCTTCCCTGAACTTCCCGAACTTCAAATCTCAATTCTGGTCCTGCAATTGCGCGACGATCCAGTATCACCGGCTCTTGACCCTACCGCCATTGGACTCTTCTGTCCTCCACCTGCGACTTTCCAGAGTCATTCTTTCCTTTTAGCGTTTTATATCCTCCAGTGGTCTTCAAGATGCCCGCCACGGCGTCCCGTGCCGTGCTTCGGCAATCGCAGTTCCTGACCCGCAGGTCTGCGGTCAGGTACGCTTCTTCGACCTCCGAAGCCGCTTCCAAGGCTGGTGAGACTGCTTCCTCTGCTGCCTCGAAGGCGTCTGAGGGACTTTCTCGCGTCTCTTCGACGACTGGCCCCGCCATCTCGAACGCCGCCCAGGGTCTCGGTAGCGCCCTCAGGAAGGTCGGTGGAAGGACCGGAAAAGTCATCGCTTTTGTCGATTGTAAGCGGACTCTCCATGATGTTTGCAACGAATAACCCCTTTGAATATCCATTGGGATGATACTATGACGGTGGCATTGCCGGACGCCGTCATGTCGTGATTCACTCCTTGAGTGGAGCCATCCCCGGATTTTTGTCATATCTTTCGGAGCATTGCTAATCATTCGTCGTGTCAATGCAGCCATGATACCCCCTACCGTCTACTACTCGAAGGTCGGAATCGAGCTTGCTAAGCTGGTCTTCCGTGGCCAGAACATGACTCCTCCGTAAGCGCCCACAACTAATCTGAACGAACCGTGACCCTTGTCAACTAATACGGATTATAGCAACATGGCCACCTTCCAGGCTTACTTCCAGCCTCTGACCAACGCCTTCCGTAACCCTGCCGCCTTCAAGAACTCCAGCTTTGCTCCCTCGAACATCATCTCCCGCGTTCGTACCGCCAACAAGAAGGAGATTGCTCTGGCTGGTGTCACCGCTGCGGAGATCGTTGGTTTCTTCACCGTTGGCGAGATCATTGGTCGGATGAACATCGTCGGCTACAAGGGACAGCCTGAGCACCACGGACACCACTAGATAAATACCAAGCACTCGTGACTTAGCCTGTCTTCCTTCCCTTTCCCGTTTTCCTTTGTGTGCTGTACTATTGTATGATAGACGATGGAATAAACTGTTGTCTGAGGTTGTGCGATACGAGCAATTGGGCACGTCTCATTTGTTGTTGTCTTAGATTTAGGTTCATGCATGGGGACGGCTATTTGGTTGAATATTCTGGCTGCTTAAGGGGAGATGTTGTGAACCATAGCAGGCAGTCTGCTATCAAAGCGGCACTGCCTTAGGTGACTGATGATCGTATTTCAAAGCTATGACTATTTTAAGGCTATAGGCATGTTACAAAGTTCAATCGGTCTGTGCTGAAAGTCGGTCATGACCACGATACTTGAGCTCGATTTCTGCCTCAGGTGTCAGTGGGATACAATGAAGAATCAGATCTGAATTAAGCACGAGGATTTCAAAGTCCATTATTGATATACGTAGCTAATCCCAAATCATAAAGCGCACGAGCGTCAGACCAGGCAACTCAATATCTCGGGCTTGATGACTGAGAGCTTCGAGAATTATCCGTTTGATGGAGGTGAGGGTTGCTTGCCTCTGATTGGCCCGTGCGGTAAAGAATTTCAGCATCGAAACTTTTTCCTCATTAAGTCCGACTACTCGACAACCATCAATATCAAGCTCGCGATCGCTGGGACTCGGACGCTCGTGTCCCCCTAATATACCTAGTCGCATGGACTGTTAGTTCATATATATTTAAAAATGGATGCGTTCAAGTTATTGACAAGGTCCACCAAGTTCAAGGCTGGTAATACCCTGTCTTCGACCCTGCCTTCCAAAGGCAAGGCCGAGAACCCCCAGCTTTTCCGTGACGAAACGCTCCTGGAGTCAAATGCTTCCGGGAAAAAGAGGAAGCGCACGCAAGCCGCGGGTGATTCAGATGCAGAAGATGGCAATGCTGGCGATCTAGATTTCTTTGGCTCAGGTAAACGGTCTGCGGCCAGCGCATCGGCGAAAAAGGATGAAGATGGACCGTCTGAGCAGAAAGATGCATCTGATTCCGAAGGCGATGATTCGATGGATGAAGTCGAGCGCCGGACGATCTTGAACTCTCACAAGATCAAGGTCACTGATATGCGTGACTTCGAGGAAGTTCAACCCACTCAGCCTCAGAAAGAGGAATCTAAGAAGAAAAAGAAGAAGAGAAAGCAGCAGGAAGAGGAGCCTGCTCAAACGCTCACTAAGAAAGAGCAGAAGAAAGCCCGGCGGTTGTTTCCGGAGCCTTTGATTTCCTTCAAACAGCTGCGCACCAAGTACAACATTTCCCGACGACTCGCGGAAAACATTGCTGAGCAAGGCTTTACTGTCCCTACCGAAGTTCAACTAGGAAGTCTTCCTCTTTTGCTCGGAGACCAATCGGTGGCTCAGAAGTCGGGCACCGGGAAGAGTATCGAACCGGATCTACTGGTCGTTGCGCCTACAGGAAGTGGCAAGACGCTATCATTCATGATTCCGGTGATCAACAAGATTGTCCGGCACCATCACGAAGATCCGGAGGAACGAGGTATCTTGTCTGTTGTGATTGCCCCGACAAAGGAGCTTGCTAGCCAAATCGTCAACGAAGGCCGCAAGTTAGCTCTGGGAACCGGTGTGAAGATCACCCTGATGAAGAAGGGCATGCGTGTGGTAGAGCGTGATGACGAAGACGATAGCAAAGATGTCCTAGATGAAGATGATTCGGAATCGTCGGGCTCTGAAGATGATGAAAAGGCTACAGCAAAAAACAGCAAAGGGAAGGCGCCCGTCACTAAGAGCGACATCCTCGTAACAACACCATTGCTTCTGGTTAACGCGCTCTCTGCAAACCGGACGAAGCCGTTGGCGACTCTCCCTCTGGTGAGGAATGTGGTTCTGGATGAGGCTGATGTTCTCCTGGACCCTCTGTTCCGCGACCAAACACTTGACATCTGGCGCTCCTGCACGCATCCTGAGCTTCGAGCAAGTCTCTGGTCAGCGACGATGGGGTCGAATGTCGAAGACCTCGCTAAGTCAACGATCAAGGAGCGGAAGGACACTCTAAGCGAGACCAAGTCTTATCCGCTGCTTCGTCTGGTGGTTGGCCTCAAGGACTCTGCCATTCCAAACATCAAGCACAAGCTGGTTTATGCTGCCACCGAACAAGGAAAGCTGCTCGGTCTTCGTCAGCTCCTGCACCCCGCCGCAGCATCATCTACGGACATCCGTTTACGCCCACCTTTCTTGATCTTCACTCAGACAATTCCCAGAGCAGTTGCGTTACACTCAGAGTTGCGCTACGATATTCCTCCCGAGGCGGGTGGCTCGTCACGTATTGCTGTTCTCCACTCTGAGCTATCAGACGGCCAACGTTCCGAAATCATGAAGCAGTTCCGAAAGGGTGAAATCTGGATCCTCGTCACCACAGATCTTTTGGCCCGTGGCGTTGACTTCAGAGGTATCAACGGGGTTGTTAACTACGATATCCCGAATTCCGCTGCCGTCTACGTCCACCGTGTTGGACGGACGGGCAGAGCTGGCCGTGAAGGTGGCATTGCAGTCACATACTACACCAAGGAGGATATTCCTTATGTCAAGAGCATCGCCAACGTAATCGACGTCAGCGAGAAGCTACGGGGCACAAATGAAGACAAGTCGGTACAGAAGTGGCTGCTGGACGCTCTTCCGGACCTCAGCAAGAAGAAGAAGGAGGAGCTCAAGAAGCACGGCGTCAAGGCCAGGCAGACCCAAGGCACGAAGGACGACAAGAAGATGAGGATTAGTACCAAGAGTGGTTACGAGAGACGCCAGGAGAACAAGAAGAAGGCTCTCATCTCAGCCAGCCGCAACAGGAAATCTCAACCACAGTCAGGCGCAGACTCTGGCAGTGACGACGACAACCAGGGCTGGCAAGGACTTGAGGACTAGGCTCCTATGGATGTGGGTTGTGCTTAACCCGTTGGTGTTTCTGTACAAATATGAAAAGTCTACCTTACGATTCCCCAAACCAGCACTTCAATATAGATCACGAATTATCATTTTTTGTTTTTTGTACAGGCTGTTCAATCAAGTTCCGCTTCAATCGCAAGGGTTGGAAATCATTATCCAATTTGCCCTGTTCCTCCAATACACGCTCTAAATCATCGCCATCGCGATCGTAGTATAGCGCCCAACAGCCATCGTCTTCTTGCACTGCCACAAACTGCCTGTTCTCCTCCAGTGTCACCGTGGTCTCCTCATCCTCCCAATCCCACGGCCCAACAACATGATCGCAACTCGATGACCGGTTCCCATACTTCATTTCATGTGTGTTAGTATCGGCGTATAGCCAACCCAACATCGGCGGGTTATCTGAGATGGTGGTCGCTAATCCAAAACCCCGCTTGAGGTGCTTCATATGGTCTGGCTCTGGGTACTCAATATAAAACGCTGCCGCGGTGTGCGCGGGGACTTTTCGCTTCGAGGGCACAGGATCATCGAGATAAACCTATTATATTAACATAAATCAGTCAGCTCATCAGACTCACTTGACATACAAAACAACAAAGAATAAGAACTATATCGCAGCGAAAACACTTGATCGCACCTTGAAGTCCCTCAGCACCACCCGTAACCCTTGAACCTCATCGTCAGGTTCCTCATTTGGTGGTGGTGCGACATCAATATTAAACTTTGCCATGCGTCGCTCATCATTCTTCCTCTCATTTGCTTTGCGCTGTTCACTCACCCCCATGGCCACGCCGGTGACGGTGGGGATGGCGGTAATTGCTAGGAGACCGATAACCATGTTGATTGCTAGGTTCTTTGCGCTTGTTGATTGAAGATTGAAGGTAGACGATTTGACTAATAGAGAAGCGGTATTTTGGGGAGAGCTAAGCACTGAGCATCATATTTGTTTGTATTAAGTACAGGCGTAGAATCCAATATCACTTATCGCTGGTGGCGGTGCCGAGCGTCGTCATATGTCATCGGTGGCTGACCGGGGTTGCTGCCTGATTGATGCCTGGCTCATCGAAGGCTCCAGCAACTACTCTTTGTTGTCTCCACCCTCCGATCTATCCATCTACATCCTATGCGCTTCCCTTCGCGAGTCAACACGGAAAGATCATGACTACTTTTCTCTGGAGCATCCCAGGAGGGGATTATAAGTACGGCATGCGCTCTATCCAATGCCTTGGTAGCCAATCATTCTTAGGCATTTTCAGTGGCCTCCCAAATATGGACGCTGACTCGTGGGACGTACTGAGCCCGCGTTGTTATTGGCTATGAAGCAGTCCATACCATGTCGCAAGGGTTATGCGGCTGAACAGACGTGCCATTTGAGATTACTAAGTATTTAATATACGGAGTGGAAGCTTTGCAGGTACTATTATGGGATCCCTTCCATCTCAAGGCCGACATGATCATCCGGATACTATATTACAATGTTATGATTCGACTGCCATTGTGATCAGTGTAAGCTCGCAGTTAGTTGTGTGGACTCAACCGTTGAAAGTGGTGGTGCTACCTACCATAGGTATGTGGCATTCAGGGTCGGGAATGCTGCAGAAATCTAGCAATGTCATTACCTGGAGCTCTGGCGAGTCGGTCGTTGTTGGGCGAGACTTTGTGAGATACAACTAATTAACATTATACGTAGTTTGAGCCAATTCAGCTCGATTACAGGGCGTGGTTTCGAAGCTATGCATATTTTAACAAGCCGACTCAAATTGCTTCAGGTACCGGCTGTCACTGATACCGTCGCATGATTCATACGGGTGTGATGCAGCAGCAAGGGGCAGCATTTACAAAATTGTCTAAAACAGGAATTAATCACCTCTCATAGTGACAGCCCTGCCATTCTCTCATATAAGTCTAGATAAGCCATCAAATATCCTTGGAATGAAGACCACCACCATGTGCAACTCTTCGCATTCGTCTGCGGCTCAAATGAGGACCTGGTTGTGATGCCATCCACAATGGTCGATGAAGGTAGAGGTAAGCCTAAAGATTGTACTCCCTCCTAGTGTGATCCTTGTTTACTCGTTACTGTTGGTGTCTGGGGTCCGCAACGATTAACTTTACAAAGCACTGCACCGTCAGCATCCGTATGCCCTTCCTGCCTGGTTTGTAGCGGAGAATGTTAAAACCAAATCAGAGCATCGGGCACCAATCCGTCTACATCAAAGTAGTAACCTTAACTTTCAAAGCGATAAGGAAGTGGGTCCCTGTACGGATACTAATGGAGACGGTAGAAGCAAGAATGGGATTGACGAGGACCAGACTGAAGCTGCTGATGAGTATGTCTTCCAAAAGAAGCGATACGCAGAACTATATGACCTTGCTGCTGCTGCTCTACTCAGCAAGACTTCGTTTCCAAAAGTGAAGCGAGGTGGCATATGGCCTTGCATGGCAGTGGAAGTTGAAAGTTCTGCCTGCGCTACAGCCATCATAGAACACCTAGCAGGAGATATGGGTGCATCCTGCATCTCGGCTGGGCCCGAGGATCTGTATAAGCTTGCTCGTGAATTTCATCAACAAGACGAATCGGCTCGGCATCACGAATGCCGCTCTTTTTGTGCAGACCCTGTGTGTCAAAGTGAAAATAAGCCGTCAATATTCTTTAAAGAGACGATAGAGATTACAGACTCAGCCATCGGTCTCAGTGATGACCATAGTGACACTGACTACGCCATAGTCGAGGATAGAGATCAGATGATCAAATATCATTTTGGAGACGAAAACAGTCTACGGAGTCAGTGCTCAATAGAATCTATTTTGAATGCTCATTTGGCGAAGATTGAACAGAAGCCTTCGCAATCTGAACCCCGGAGCACGGCCTCAAGACAAAGCGATCGACTTATACTCCACCTTCGCAACTCTTACGAGATTGATTGTATATCCTACGGTATCATTCAAAGCTTCAGAAATGCCATCATGGAACGTTGGAAGAATAATGAGCTTGTATTGCTTATCATCAGCGATATGAACCATGACACTCGACGGGAACTTAATATCACACCTTCTTTTATTGTTTGGTTCGATGACCCAAAGTCACTAAAACACAAGATTGCATCAGAAACAGAGAAGAAACAGCTCGGTATTGCGAGAAGAGCTAGAAAACTGAAAGGGTCTATAAGAGAAAGGCTGCCCATAGGCTTCGCTTCCGAGCTGCTATCCGACGCCGTACACTTGGATATACCGGACACTTTGTTAACTGATTTCCATGATGACATGGACTACACGCTGATTGCTTGTCAAGTTTTGGGGCGGGTTTGCGTCAAAGGGGTACTGGAACTGAGTGACATACTCGAAGTCTTGCAGCGTAATAGTTGCGAGCAACCGCAGCCGCCAGAACCCTCAAGAACTGAGCCTCTGGAAGTTAAGGAGCCCAGCTTCTCCGAAACGGGTGATACAACTAGGAAGAGTTGCAACAAGTTCGAGCTAGGGCTCTCAGAATGCATCATCGACCCAGGTAAGGGCGTCTATAGCCAGATTCTGACCCAAGGCTTACCGGGTAGCAGAAACTCAGAAACACACCTACGACGATATTATTCTGGAGCAAAATGTGAAGGGCCACATAAGACGATTGGTGCACTTTTCGAGAACCCAACTTGAGGATTCCTCAAAGACACCTCCGGAACAACCTAGGCCTACAGGAGTCTTAATTCATGGACCTCCTGGTACTGGGAAGACCCATCTAGCTCATGCAATCGCCAACGAGTCCAGAGCGACCATGCTCCGAATCAAACCAGCAGACATCGTCAGTGATGTTGAGGGGGATGCAGAGAAAACGATCCATGCCGCATTCACACTAGCCAAGACGCTATCACCTTGTGTTCTGTTCATCGACGAAGTCGATGCCCTGTTTTACCGTCGCTCCGCTGACGATCACTCCTGGCGACGAAGGGCCCTGGCCCAGTTCCTCCAAGAAATGGATGCGCTATCCCAGGATGAAGACACGCCCCTCGTCCTCTGCGCGACAAGCCGGCCCTCAGATCTAGACGAAGCTTTCCTGCAGCGATTTCCCAACAAGGTTATGACAAAGCCTCCAGGCGAGGAAGAAAGACTCAAGATTCTGCAGACATCCCTCAAGGAATCAGAAATTGACCCCCAAGTCAGCCTAGAGGCCCTCGCACGTCAATCAGCCGGCCTATCTGGCTCAGACTTGCGCTCACTCTGCGGACAAGCTGCGTTGCACTCTACCATGGATGATACATCCTCGCAGTCAACGGGTACCGAAATCAAATCCCCAACCAAATCTCATCTTAAAGCCCAGCATTTCGCCGAGGCTCTTCGAGACATCAGACCTAGTGTGTCGAGGGGTTCTCAGACCGACATAGAAGCACCTTCTCGGCTCGTCACTCGTAATAGTATGAAGGTATGTCCGCCTAGCACTGAGATTCTCTAGCTTGATACTTATTGGGATTTATTTGTAGTCTAGTCGGAACGGAAGGAATGCGAGAAAAGCGACAGTTGAACCATGTATTCCAGAGTCCCCTGTATCAGACAACGAGACTGCTTTTCTTTAGCCGTGACAGAATAATGGGGATGCTTATATTTGGCTGGAGCTTGGCTAGACCAAATCAAGGCGACTACTTTGGTTATAATACTCAATCTTGGTCTGGAGACCTGCAAATGCGGGTGGCACATCATTGAAAATAGGGGATAGGCATATTGCCCGAGTTGGCAGCCTCGCTCTGAACAATGCAACCATTCTACTATCGTTTCTATATCATTACCTTGCAAGCATTTCGAATCGAACAGTGTTCCATGTATAACGGATCCGTGGCTCTATTCTAGCATCTAAACTATAGTTCTAAGCAATCAATCAGTCTACGTCTAGACTCTATCATCGTGTCTCGTTTTTCATCGTGACGTCGTGGATAATATCTTCCCCCGCCCTCTTCTGACCTCCCTAGAGCTTCTCGCTCCATCCCCATACCGACCACCAACACTTCACCTCCAACGCCCCCCCATCCGCCGACTCCCAATCGTCATACCCAATCTCCTCGCCCTCGTCCACCACTGCCAACCCCAACCGTCCCATCCGGTCCCGCAGCTCCTGCACCTGAGGTAGATACGCATCCCGGAGTGGCATTTCCAGCACAACACGGGCATCCAGCCCCCTACTTAGCCAATGAGTGATCGTGTCGACCAGCAACTTCGGGTGACTAGGCGAATACAACGGATCCGCAGCAAGGATGACATCGTACTGCTCTTGTGCAGTGGGCAGCGGGTCCGGGGTATCAGTCCAATCAAGAACACCCGTCGTGACGACGCCGCCTGTCCGATTGAGCAATTCAACGTTGAGAGCTGCGTTGTGGGCTAGGTTGGGCACAATGTCCGGAAGGTCTGTGAGATGGATCGTGGCTGATGAGCCGCGCAGTGCGGCGAAAGAGAGGCCCACGAGTCCTGTTCCGGCGCCGAGTTCGAGGGCGCGGAGTGTCTTGTTGTTGTCTGGGCGGGGTTGCGGGGTGGTGGACGTGGTAGGGACGAGGTTGGGAGTTGAGTCGAGAAGATTGTGGAGGCGGCGGGAGAGGAGGTATGAGGAGACCCAGGTTTTCATGCCCAGGTTGTCGGCTGTTAAGGAGGGTTCGTGGAGGGTCAGTGTGAATTCTTCGCCTTCGAGTCCATCGGATGTGGTACTAGGGATGCTGAAGACTCGGGACATGGCGGGCATGGCTATTCGCTCGAAGAGCAAGACATCATGTTAGATGCGGCAAGACAATGGCGCAATAAGTACTACAAAAATAATATCAGTTCTGCGTACCGGTTCGACCGGAGCGCTCGCTGAGTCGTGCTGCAGCGGCGTCCCAGACGGCCTCCCGGAGTTCGTCAGTGTCGAGCCATGCCAGCGGGCTGGCAATGATAGATGTCAGATAGCGGGTCACTCCGGCTGGCTGCACAGTCCGGCTCTTTGTCGCTTCATGGGCTACGGGCCCGAAACTCCGCGGTTTGACTGTTAGCAGGTCGAGGGCTTGGATGAGCTCAGTGCCGGACGGTTTAGTATGGATCTGGGGAAGATCGAACACTGAAGCAGGCTTATCAGTACATTATCGCCCCGAGATGTTAGGGGGAAGTTCCGAGAGAGAAGACGTACCGTGGAGAGGCTCGTCGGGATCGGCGCTTATCATGTTGCAGAAGGCTGAGGGCTGATTAGTCCGACTACGGATGGTGGTAAGTCTATGCGGAGAACGAGAAATCGAGGCTCCAGTCTTATATATCGGTGTGCCTGTGGCAAAATAAGATTGGGCGGTTCTGGATGCAGGGCAGCAAAAAAAAAGTCGTGATTTCCAAAAGAGGAAAGGCCGGCGGGGACTGTTCCGCGGATCGGAGTCGCCGCCCCAAAGATGGGCCGAGATCAAGATAAGAGCATGGATCAATGGCAAACAAGAACAAGCAACTTTCTAAAGCAATAGAACTAATCTCGACTTTGGTATCGCACCCCAGACGCCAGGCACCATTCCTCACTAATACCAGTGAATAACTCCTGCAAGGCAAGTTCAACCCAAAGTGGCCTTGAACCCCAGGTATGCTTGCTCAATGTCAAATGCCAACTCCCGGGCCTGGTCTTCACCGAGTTCCTCAGTCGCACGCATCTGATTCAATGTGATCAGCCACTGGATGATCTTGCCCCGGTTCTCGAAGTCGACGTCGGTGACTTTATTGACGGACTGGATCACTTCCGACAGAAGCGGGTGCAGTGCGTCCTTGGACACCATGTTCAGCTTCAGTGCATCCAAAAAGGTGATGAAATTCTCGGTAGCCGTCAAGATCAAGCTACCAGATGCTCCTGCAGGTCCTGCTGCTGCTGGAGCCATATTCGCGGCGGGTGTGCTGTGGGAGGCTTGTTCGACTGTCGCGGGGAGGCCGATGCGGAGACGTTCAGTGGCGCGAGGGCATTCCAGCTACACAGGATCAAGCCGAATGGTCAGACTCCATCGTACAATAAGTTCACGATGTTGATACTCACCTCCCAGGTACGTTTGAAGGTCTCTAGATCGACAAACTCGTTCGCAACAGTCTCATCGCCCAAACTGGACTTGTACTGTTTCAAGAGCCGGGTACATGTCTCCGTGTACTCTGCTTCCGTAACCACATCTTTGATATAAGCCTTCTCCAGGCCATCCAAAGTCACGATAATACCGTAGATCTCAGCCAACGACTCGTAGAGATCCCGCTCCGCCGCGCTGGAAGCTAGTTTTACTTCCTACCGCAACAGTTAGTCGGTGATCTAGCAACCCTTTTCATCCTCCAGGCGACTCACTTCATCAAGGTTGATAGATGCCGCCAACGCCGGGTTTGGCGTATAGCTATACGGCGTAGGGGCGTACGCCAACGGTCGCTGGGTATACATGATGGTGCGATGAGGGGAAGAGATGATTGGCATCATCGCGAGGGGAAGGGAAGGCGGTCACCATGACGGGGACCCACTCACCGCCCCATTCTGCCGCAGGATGTTTTTTTCGTCTCCAGATTTTTCTTGGGCGGAATTTCCGCGTGCTCGAAGTATCTCGACTGCCGTCGTGGTCCTTTATTCTACTTTTCCCACATATTTTATCCTATCCGTTCGGTCGGGTAGGCAAGCACCTCGGGCACAATGGCCGGATCTCAGAAGAAATCCACCAAGAAATTCGAAAAGAAGCACCTGAAGGACGTTCTCGAACGCCGGAAGGCCAATGCGAAGATCAAGCAGCGCAACCACCTCAAGGACAAGCGTAAGGCCGATAATGCCAAAGACCGCGCCAATCGAGAGGAGGCTACCGAGGAGAGCCCCGAACAAGTTCAGAAGCAAAATGCTTTCGCCGATATGAACGTCGACGACTTCTTCGCGGGCGGATTCGATATTGCTGATTCTGCCGCGGAGTTGAAGAAAGCCCGGAAGAAGGATGTCACACCCAAGATTGGCAAGCGCAAGCGCTCCGATGAGCAGAAGGAGGAGGAGGAGGCTTCTGCTGCTTCCAGCGCTGAGGAGGAAGGCGCTAGCGACGAAGACGAGGACGCCGCCTCTCAGTCCAGCGACGCCGATGACTTCGAAGCACACAAGGACCAACTCGAGGCGCTGAAGGAGAAGGACCCTGAATTCTACAAGTACCTGAAGGAAAACGATGCCGAGCTGCTCGATTTCGGCGACCACGGAGACCTTGCGGAAGTGGACGAGCTGAGCGAAGGAGAGGAAGAAGGACCGGCCAAGAAGAAGAAAAAGGCAGCCAAGGAGGAGGAAGAGGAGACCATTGACAATACCCTCACTATTGCGATGGTCAAGAAGTGGCAGAAGTTGATGGAGGAGCAGCACTCGGTCCGCGCGATGAGACAGGCCGTTCTTGCTTTCCGCGCCGCCGCTCATATCAACGACGACGCCCAAGAGCAGAAGTACTCGATCTCCGACCCCGACGTGTATCACCAGGTCCTGGTGACAGCCCTCAGCACCATTCCCCGTGTTCTCGCTCACCACCTTCCGGTCAAGGAGACCGCCTCTGGCAAGATCAAGGTGTCTCTGGATTCGAAGAAGTTCAAGACTCTCACGCCGCTTATCAAGTCGCACACATCGTCGGTCCACGAGCTGCTCACCAACCTGTCCGATGAACAGACTCTGAAGCTCACCCTCTCCTCCATCGAGCCTATGCTTCCCTACCTCCTTCAGTTCAGAAAGCTACTCAAGGTCCTTATCAAGACCATTGTCGGCATCTGGGCGGACGTTGCTACTACCGAGGCCACGCGCATCACGGCCTTCCTTATCCTCCGCCGTCTCATGATTATCGGCGATGCCGGTATTAAGGAAACCGTCCTCAAGGCTTCCTACGAAGGTGTTGTTAAGGGCAGCCGCAACACGACCGTGCACACCCTCTCTGGCGTGAACCTCATGAAGAACTCTGCCGCGGAGCTCTGGGGCGTCGACCAGAACGTCTCCTACACAACAGGCTTCAACTTCATCCGCCAACTCGCCATGCACCTTCGCAGCAGCATCACCAACACGTCCAAGGAATCTTACAAGACCGTCTACAACTGGCAATACGTACACAGTCTGGACTTCTGGTCCCGCGTCCTTTCCCAACACTGCGACGGCCTCGCCGAAGCCAAGGCAGGCAAACAATCCGCCATGCGCCCCCTCATTTACCCCGTCGTGCAAATCACCATCGGTGCTATGCGCCTAATCCCCACAGCGCAGTACTTCCCTCTCCGCTTCCAACTCACCCGCTCCCTCCTCCGCCTCTCCCGCAGCACGGGCACCTACATTCCCCTCGCCTCCAGTCTCCTCGAAGTCCTCAACCTGTCTGAGATGCGCAAGCCCCCGAAATCCAGCACTCTGAGGCAACTCGACTTCAACACAGCCATCCGGGCACCGAAATCCTACCTCCGCACACGCGTCTACCAAGACGGCGTGGGCGAGCAAATCGCCGAACTCCTGTCCGAATTCTTCGTCCTCTGGACAAAACACATCGCCTTCCCGGAACTCTCTGTCCCCATTGTCGTCTCGCTGAAGCGCTGGCTGAAGCAGGCTAGCTCCCGGTCGGGAGGTAACAAGAACGCCAAGGTCAATCAGATGATCCTGCTGCTCGTGCAGAAGGTGGAGGCCAATGCACGCTTCATCGAGGAACGCAGATTGAGCGTCTCTTACACGCCGAGAAACCGTGCTGAGGTGGAGACTTTCCTGAAGGATCTGGACTGGGAGGCTACGCCGCTCGGGGCTTTCGTTAAGTCGCAACGGAAGTTGAGAGAGGAGAAGGCTAAGATTCTTGAGCAAGGTAGACGCGAGGACGAGAAGCGGAGGGCTCAGGAGAAGGAGGAAGCTGGGAAGGATGTCATTATGGATGATGTGATCAGTGAGAATGATGACAGTGATGAGGACGATGAGGACGAGGTGGAGGATGAGAGCGAGGCTGGTTCAGGTGATGACGGTAGTGAAGATGAGGAGGAAGAAGAAGAAGAGGAGGAGGAGGATGAAGATGAGGAAGAGGTCGAGTTCGAAGAAGAGGAGGATTAAGCTGTTTAATCAGGCTCCTTTTGTACCCTTTTTTTTTCTTTTCTTTTTTTCACTGTCTTGTTATATATCAGTCGTAGCTTTATGGGATATATCTTGTCTGGTCTGCTGGTGTCAATATAAAAGTTAGAATACGTGTGTGGTCAAAGCTGTTTTGTTCGTATGTTGCGCCATACTGTATACCACTATCCAAAAACTACCGAGTAGGCTGCAAGTGCCGGGACAGGTCTATGTGCAATAACTTGATTGAACGCATAATGTATAGTCTAGAGACTCGAAGGAAATCACAGAATTTCACAAACAAAATCACAAACAAGATAATCACAAGAACAATAACAGATCAGAAGAAACAAAAAGAATCACTGCACCAACCACACCACATCTTACTACACCTCTTTTGTAACATCACCTTCACCATACAACCCCACAACACAGATATTCATCAACCGAGCCCAATCAAATTGAGTGAGCTTAAACCGAACCTATAGGCATCTTATCACTCCCCCAAGCACGAGACTGCTCTCGTCTCATAGCAGCATCTTCCTCCTCGGCCCACTCAAGGGACTCGTTCGGCAGCATAACAGCGCGATCAATAGCGACCGGAAGACCCCTGTGGCGACCGCGCAACATAACAGCCGCCAGGATAAGCTTGCTGATGGTATGCCATGAGGAACAGAACGAGGCATTCGAGCTCGGAAAGCCCACACTGATGCCGACGCAACCGTAGGCGGAGACGACCTCAAAAATAATGTTCAGGGTCGAATATGCCACGGGCATGCGGCTGTAGTTGCCTGATTCTGCGATGGCAATGAGGAAGACCGCGAGGGCGATCCACCAGAGGTCATGGCTCAGCTGGGAGCGCAGTTGCTGGTGGACAAAGTAACTGCGGGATGCTTCGGGGGTGGATGCATTTTGGCGTCCGAGAAGGTGGTGTCGGACTAGTTGGATGAACATGTTTGGAGAGGTTTTCTCTTCGACCTCGTCGTCGTTGTCATGGGCGTAGATTCCGAGAGAGCGCTCTTCGTATACGTTTGTGTTTCTGTGGTTGTTAGTGGGGGTTTGGGAAGGAGAGAAACGGTTGTTACTAACCTCATGGTGACTAGCACTGGGTATGCTGATACATACTACAGGGGGTTAGTCTGGTGATTTTCT